AAAAGGGAGAAAACTATAGTTTTCATTTTTAGGAAATAAAATTACCCAGTCCCCATTCACGTGTATCCATACTGCCTTCTTGGTTCCAATCTCCATTTTAATTTTCCAATCGCTTCCTTTTTCTTTTCTGCTCTATTCTTCTTTCTCCTATTTTCCTTCACGTTTTGTTCTGTCTAAAACTTTCCATACACGAATGATGTCATTTTCTAACTTTATCACTTAACTTCTGATGGCATCTAGCCCTTTCAAATATTCAGTATTATAAATAATGCTACAATATCAAATACCACAAAGATATCTTTGACACTTACATCCTATTTCTCTATGATAAAATCCTAATTGCTGTTAATGCAATACCTGGGAATCCTGACCCTTCACGGGCAGTGACTTCATTCTGGAAGCTTTATAGTTATTTATCCCAAATTGAAAAAGACCAGTTTGGTTAACACTGAATTCACTGCTACCCTTTAGACCAGGTGTGTCTACTGGTCCCTTCCTATCTGGTTTCATCCTTTATATAAATGAAGTCAAGTTCCATATTCTCTACCAAAACACACGGGTCCTAGTATGTCCTCTATACTTCCAATAACTTGTCTACCACATGTATCTGTAATCATTCCTTATTCTGCTTTCCTGGTATTCTAGTAGGTAACATTACAGCAATGTGCAAAGAAAGTGTTATACAGGCGTGGCCTTAAATTCCAGAACTTTCTTTATGTCACTAGTTTATAGACTCAACCTTTATTATCTTATAATAATTACTTGTGACTGATGCTCACCTCATAATTACATTGAAATGCCTGAGAAAAGCATTAAGGCATTCAGTACCATTTTGGCACTTCCTACAAAATGTGTTCCAGCAGATTCTCCTCATGGCTTCACTCTGTCCTCACCTTCCATTTAAGCCCTTTCCCCTCTTCATTTCCTTTCTGCTTTCAAGTCACAGGGCTTTCGTTTGCCCCTCCTCCATCTTCACCAGTGACCCATTTTGCTCTCAGATTCTATTTTTGGGGGGTGGGATGGGAGTTCGAGACAGGGTTTCACTGTGTAACAGTCCTGACTGTTCTGGAACTCTCCTTTTACACCAGACTGACCTCGAACTCACTGAGATCCTCAGCCTCTGCCTACCAAGTGCTGGGATAAAAGGAGTGTGCCACCACGGCCTAACCCGACACTATTTGTTTATGACTTGCATCATTTACACTATCCTCTCTGTCTCCCTGTCTCTCTCTGTCTTCTCCTCTCTTGTCTCTCTGTCTCTCTCTCTTTGTCTCTCTGTCTCTCTCTCTCTTCCACTCTCTTTCTCATTGTCTCTCTCTTTCTGTCTCACACACACACACTCTCTCTTATACACACTGTTTCTTTCTCTCTCACTCGCTCTCTCTCTCTCCCTTTCTCTCTCTCTCTCTCTCTCTCTCTCTCTCTCTCTCACACACACACACACACACTCATACACACACACTCATGGCCATTACAAGTTTAGATCAGCATACAAGGGAGAACTTTTTGTCTTTAAGAGTTTGGACCACTTTGCTTAATTTTATCCTTCCCAGATTCATTAATTTTCTCACAAATCTTGCTTTTGTTCTACGCCTTAGCAAAATTAAATTGCTAAAGATGCCGCACTCATTGATTACCCAGTCATCTGTTTGTAGACATCTGGTTGACGGCACTATTTGCTACTGCGGTTAGGGAAACAATAACACGGATATGAGGTAGCATATGGAGTCCTTTGGCTGTATGTCCAGGATTGGCATAGCTGGGTCATGCATTAGCTCTATTGTTAAATTTTAAGAGACCTCCGTATTGAGTTCCATACTGGTTGCACTCGTTTGCACTCCCACCATCAGTGAATAAGGCTTCCTCTTTTCCCACCTCCAGGCAGGCATTTGTTGTCATTTGATTTCCTGATTTTAGCCATTATGACTGGGGTGAGGGGAGTCTCACTAATTTCCATTACCCTGAAGGATAAGGATGTGGTAAAACTTTAAAATACTTACGATTGATCATTTCTGTTTCTTCTCTGGAGAACTATTTGTTCATCTCACTAACCATTTGTTAACTGGCAGTTTGTGGGTTACATTTTTGCAGTTATTCTCAGTGCTGGATATTAGCCCCTACCGGCAAAGATTTTCTCCCATTGCATTGGCTACATGCTTGCTCTGCTAACAATTTCTTTTGCTGAACAGAAACTTTGAAATTTCATTGTAAATCTAATCATCCTTCCACAGTCAATACTCTTCACAATTTCTGCTTCATTTAATCCTCCCAATCCTGAGGGAGACTATTATTGTCTCTGTTACTTTTAGAAGTGCTGTAATCTTTTTATGATCACAGACACAGCCAAAAGTTATTTCAGAGGTCCAATGCTCTGAAATTCATGGATGTTTCAATCTCAAATATCTGTCTAAAAGGCTCTGGTGTGATTCTTCTAAATATTTGTTAAATAAAGATTCCGTTTTGTCAAACTAACAATGTCTGATTGCAGAGGATAATAAGCTCTTAATTACAAGTGTAAGAGAGTTCAGTAAGCAGGCTCAACCCCAAAAGCAGAAAAAACAAAGCATCTTTTTGACGTTCTCAGGTCACCACCCCAACACTGCCACATTTTCTACACATATTGGAAAAATTATCACCAATTAAAGATTAATCATAACTAGTCACTAATGAAAGACTGTTTGAACTACACTGACTGTTTAACAGAGAATTCTTGCTCAAAACGATGAGTGCAGTAGTTTCTAAATGTCATTCCCTGGGTTTGGTGCATCAGTTATCTTGTCAAATACACAAAATTGTGAGTTTTCACTTTGAGTCTGACTCCAAAGATATAATCAAATAATTACTTATGATACATATTTAAAAGTATAAACTAAACTGAAGAATCTCCCGTGTTTTTGATGTATGGAAATGTCTGAGAAGACCTGTTGGTCTCAAAGAACCAAGGGCTTTACAAGATTGCCAAAATGAGTGAGCAGCTCCAAAGGCCACATATAGCTCTTGAATAAAAGAAGAATAAGACTGCTTTCAATAATTCAGTGTCTTCCAGCATTATTGAAAACCCATGCTGGAGTTCCAGTGACAAGAAGTCGTAGAACAGCAGAGTAGTCAAAGTCAGAATAAACCTGCCATTTTCTTAACACTAGTTACAGGTTCATGCATCCTTTCAAAGTGAATCACAAATCATTCATCAAGGATATACTAAGCTCTTACTATGTGCAAGGAATTACAAATTCTTAGAATAATAACCTAATACCTAATAACCCCAAGACTCCTCCTTCCTCCTACAGGTTCATGTTTCTTCATCAGAGTTAATACTAATTCATTTAGGGTGACAAAAAAAAGCCCTCATGACAATGTTCATAAGTGAGGATTCAAAAGAGATGAGGGTGTTGGACAGGTCAGGAAGTGTTGAATACATTACAGGTGGAAGGAATTGTCAGGCAAAATCCTTAAGCAAAAGCAGACTGATATATTTAAGGACTCTGAGGAGGATGCTTAGTCTGAGAACAGCAACAGTTGAGTATGTGAGAATAGTCAAGGGGGTCACAGGAATCTATTGTGCAGGACAGAATAACACTGAAGTTAGGTGGTCTGCCTGAAGTTATGAGGAGTATAGTGCTGGCCCTCAGTTGACTGTATAGAGAAGCGAATCTAAGGAAGAATTAGAGTAATTAATCCTCATGAAAGAGCAAGGACTAGTGGGTGGGGAGGAATGGTGTGGTTCCCATCACCTGTGAAAGCAGAGAGAACAGGAATTTTTCATAGATGAGAAGACAGGTATGAGGAAAAGAGGAGGAGTCAAGGCAGATGGAGAGAGCTAAGAAAGGCACACTTTGAAAAGACGCAGGTTTCGTTTAGACATTGCTGATGTCAGCATTCCATCACAAAGTGAAAGAAACCCAGTGGAATGATCTATCTCACACTGCTAGGGTATGGGCCATATCAAAGTAGTGAAGACTCAGCGAAGAATACACAACAAATGTGCACTCATTGTCTTATTTAGTCCCGCAGAACAACTTTATGAAAATATAGACAAAATTCCTATGATAAATGTCTTGGGGTCACTTTTATTTCACACATCTAAAAGTCACAGAATGATCTCCTGTTTATTCATTCTTATGTCTCTGATCACTTATATTGCAGTCTTAACATAACCTCTCTGTGTATACTGATGCATGACAGACAGCACACAGATGGATACCTCGGATGTGCTGACGGTCCATGGATGGTCTCAACGCTTCCCTGAACCGTCGGGATCTCTGCTCCATAATGAGCTTCTGTTGCTTTCAGCGGCTGCTCTAAGGTGTCCACAGGGCTCTCTAACCCCTGAAGCTCCTTTTCATGTTCTTCACTGTCTTCACTCTCCGGCAGAAAAGACAGCTCACTCTCATGACGGATGTCTGTGTCATAGGAACAGAACCAAAGGCACACTATGATCCACGTTTCTTGGTAACAAAGAATTACTTGTGTGTACGAAGAATACTTGTGATTCTTTAAAAACATGCTTTTAGTGATAACTTTTTCTTCTCATGAAAAACCCAGTATGATTCAAGACCACTTTTTCTATCCTCCTGTTTGTAGAATCACTAACTCTAACAAGTTTACATCATTATGTTTCAAATAGTTTAGAAACATAGAGTGTGAGAAATGATAAGGACAAAAGAGATGAGGAGTCTGGACATTCACTTTAAACATGAGAAAACTGAACAAGAAAATGACCATGAGAGGTCATCAAACTACCACAGGGTTTTAAGGAAAGCACATTTGTAAACATTGGGTATAAAAGTACTGTAACATGTTCTACACTTAAAATTTACCAATGCTCTCTAAACCAGCCTGAGAGCGAACCGACAAAATCCCTGATTCCTCTTCTGCCACATTTTCCTCTGCAAACTCAACTTTCACACCATCTGTTTGCTGTTCGTGAATCTATTGAAAACAGAAGAACGATGGCATAAATATCCAATCCAGGACTTTGAAATCTATATTAAAACAATTGAAGAACTTTGCACTAAGTTTTTTTTCAATCCCCTTCACCTGTGTTGCTCTGAAACAATCAAACACTTTTTGTTTACTTTTGACAAGTGACTCACTGTCATACTCATGGGAAGGAAACTGTATTAGCAATGCTCTTTTATACTCACGGAAATGTTCACTTTTCAGTAACAAATGTTTCACAGAAATTTAAACTGAAAGCCCTTTGAAACTTTAGTGCAAGCAACAGATTTTTATTATCAACACCTGACAACATAATTTTTATTTTTCCCTGGATGATGGGTTTTGTTGGACATGCAGATTATTAAATTTTGGGACGCTGTGTTTTTGTAATGAGCAGTATACATGAAGACAAGGCAGAGGACGATTACAAAATCAGCTTAAGGGTACACACACACACACACACACACACATACACAAAGAGAGAGAGTATGTGTGCATCTATGTCCTCAGAGGGCTCATTAACTAGCTGAGGAAATAATATCATTTGAGAAGCAACACCTGTGAAGTCTGAATACAATGACAGTGACTGAAATGCATCTGAGCAACTTGGGAATAAGCCAGATTTGACCTGGGCGTTAATAGTTTACAGCTATGACTTTCTGGAAAGGCTCTGTGAGATGACCTATGCTCTAAGGAGTAAAAACAAGGACCTCTTGACAGGGGCTTATATTGGATGAAAAGGGAAAAATAAAGCTAGTTAAGTAAAGTACATTTAGATTACAAGGGGAAAGGTTCTTGACTTGCCAGAGAAGAGGAATAAAGGATGCTATGAAAACCACTCAGTAACAGGAGAAAAAGTGTTCTAAGAGGCTATTTTCATTGATCACTACTCTATTAGGTGTCATCTACCACATGTCTACCTCCTGAATGTTTTTTTTTTATTTCCTTGCTTGTGTGTGTGTGTGTGTGTGTGTGTGTGAGCGCGCGCACGCCTGCACATGCTTGTGTATATACAATGTATATGGGGGGTGCATGGGCAGGAAAGTCAGAGGTCAGCAGCAGATGTTTTCTCTTTCAGTTTCTCAGCACATCTGGAACTTTTGTATTAGGCTAGACTGGTTGGCCAGCAAGCCCCAGGGATCCTCCTGTCTCTACCTCCCTCAAATTGGGATTATAGGACACGCCACCTTTGCTATGAGTTTGGAGGGATTAAACTCAGGTCCATTTCTTGCACAGCAAGCACTTTACTGAGCAGTTCTCCAGTGCCCTGAGGACACGTAAACAGGGGAATCTTACCTCTTACTTCTAGGGGAAATAATAAAAACCACCAGACAATATAACTTACAGTCTAATACTTTTATATCTTTGCTCAATTCATTCATAAATACCTACTGAGCCTTTACCATGTAAGTAGTTAACAAAACACATTCATAAAAATGATAGTAAAAATTAGGATATTTAAATGTTTAAAAATGAAAAGAAGAAATAATACCTCTGTGATGCTGACGGTGTGCTCACATAGACAATTTCCACAGTAAAGTGTTTTCTGTAAATCACTGTCTTCGAATACCACTGAATCAACACTAAATATAAACAAAAGATGGTGGTTAATGTCAATAAGGCTTTTGAGTCGTTTTATAAGGTTTATAGCATACATTCATATAGTGGAAAGGGGGAAACAAAACATGAAACATGATACGCCAAGGCTTACAGATACTGCAACACAAGTCACATGTTTGTCAAAATTTTATATTTAAAAGTAATATAATGACAAGAGAATTTTTGCAGATCAACAGATAAACTTTACACCATTTTATAAAGTATATTAAGATATGCATACATGCATTAGTATTATAAAGTTATTAAAGATACATTATCTAGTAAAAGGACCCCCAAAATATCAATGTTACTAAAACATGTTTAACACACACACACACACACACACACTCACTCACAGAAAACAACAGTCAGAAGGAACACCATCAGTGGGAATGAGGTACAGAGGCAGGAAGACACGGTTCCCAGTTACATAGTGACTTTTGGACTTGGCTGTTTTTAATCTAGTCTTCGTGTAGTTTTCAGCATATGTCTCTACTCTACACTGTTCTACAAGCATTCATTAATTTTTGTTTTTTCTAAAATGTTTAATACCCATAATAAAAATAAAGCAACATGAACATTTAGAAACACAGGA